TAAGTGTTTAAATTATCGCCGATGATATAGCAAACCAAATAGACAAGAAATTAGATATTTATCTTTCTTTTTTTGTCAAACATAATTTGTTAAGGTACTTCTAAGCATAATCAAGAGCTATCGGGTTTTCATCCCTCTACTAGAAACTTGTGTTGAAATGATCTCGAACTAATTTTTTTCTTTTCTTTCAATACAAATATAATTTTTTTTTTAATAAAGATTAGGAAACTTAAATAAAATCCTTTGACGCTGAATATGCTCTCTTTCAACAAAAATAGGAATATAACATATCTTAGAAAGCATAAGCTTACAAGTTACAGGTGCATTAGGAATTCTTTGCTTTTAAATATGTGGTGAAAAGGGCATGAAAGAACTCGGAAAGAAAAAAGATAGTGTTTTTCTTTTAATTTTTTCCTTCCGAAAATGGTTACTCACCATGTCTTTCTAGAAAGGAAAAAAAAAAATCGAAGAATTGAAAATTTCTTTAGCAAGACTCAAAAAGTGGAGTAACATGCTTGTGATTTTGTCATTTACACTAATATAAAGTGAAGAAATTAGCAGAATAAGAGAACCCTCCAATTGGAGATTCAAAACAGTATATTCGCATTTGCAAATCAATAATTTTGGTAGCAGAATATTAAACACCTTTTCTATGTGATCTTGAAGCTATGATTATTGATTACGCTCAATCGATTCCACAGGGAAATGGACGAATTGTTTAAAGGATTTATCGAACTAGAATTTCGTGAATTATGTGAAAATAATTTGTCAATTGAAATAAGATTTAATTATCAATATGCGAGATTAGTCAATCACCGGAATTCAATCTCCTAGATTGGATCAATCAACACCAATCATTCATCTATCTTACTAAAAAGTTTAGGTTCCTATAATACGTTCCCACTTAATCTATTGAAATCAGATTCAAAAGCGACCATATACATCAAGCATAAGGCTACTCCAATGAGATTATTTTAAATTGGAATTCAATAAATATTCGATCAAACTATAGAAAGAGCATGACTAATTCGATGAAAAAATCTAATAAGAACTAAACCACTTCAAAACCAACTCATGAAGAAAACCTAGATCAATTTAATTTCACTTATAATTCTAGAATTTAGGCTACCTAAGAGCATATTCCTCTTTGATTTATTGAAATACGATTCAAAAAATGATTATATACATCAAGCATAAAACAGTAATCAAATCACATCAATAAATTAATTGAAGTTTAAATTCAACAAATATTTCCGTCATTCAATGGAAAAATCATAATTGAATTCATGAACAATTTAATAAAAGCTAAACAAACTTCAAAAGTATATAATAAGGTAGAAATCTAAATCCAAGAATTATTCGACAATGAAAAACACGTTACATGAATAAAAAGATGTGAAAATCCCCAAATCCGATCAAGATATTTCGTGACTTCACCAAAATATTTAGCTTTCTATGGAGTTCTTGTGCCCAAGATGAGAGAAAAGAGATCGGAGATGATTAGGGGGCGTTCTCCCTTCTTTTGGGGGTGATTTAGGGTTTAAAATTCGTGGGAGATCAAGTTACCACAAGAGTTTGAACAGAATTAGGAAACTAAAGATTCGGTCAAAAATTGTTCTGTGCGACTACTTTCAGTATTGTGACCATAACTCTCTCCCGATATCCAATTAAGGCAATTCAAAGTGAATTGGAAATCTAATACAAAGGGCTACAATTTTGCTATAAATAGCATTTTCCAAGTTCTGACGTTTACTGGGTCAAAAGTGGACTTCAATCTATGGCTGAAAATTCAGAAAATCTTTATGCGGTTCGAATTTAATTTGTGAATATGTTATTGTCATATTTAACTTCTTTTGACTTCTAATTACACACAATAGACTCCTAGCTTTCTCGAATCATCATTCGATCAACCGTCTCATCTTTAAATTATTTGCAACTTGGTCCCTAAATTTCACTTTCTTCTATTTTGATTCTTTTTCGTTCTTTTCTTCTAAATTTCACATTTTCTACCGAAATACAACTTGAATCAAAGCATAAGTACAATGAGTGCATTTTGATATCAAATAATCACACCAATGCAATAATTAAAAGGATACAATATTATATTTTACACTCATATTAGACCCCTCCCCCTCCCCCTCCCTAACTTGCTTATTGCTAGTCCCTAGCAATTCAATGCAAAATAAGCAAATGAATTATTAGAATGTGAATACAAGTGAAATTATTAAGTTTCAACTTAACCATAGTTCATGTTCTTTTCACACTCAACACCACAAGAACTTAACAATGCCATGATTATCAAGATATCAAAAACACTTACCAAATGTGTGAGTGTGTGTCAAGCCATAACCATTTTACCAACAACCCTAACACATGCAACAATAAGTATGTCTCAAGCTGAAAGTTCAGCCCCGTAACTCACGAGTATCAAAGTGTTTAGTGCGATTTTCTCTTATGGAGTTAAGAAAGATATACTCTCAAAACATGTAGGCTTAAAATTTATGAACAAGCAACAAGCAAATATTGATCACATGATAGGTACACTATCAACTGAGAATTCATCAACTTCTTACCACAACCCTACTAAAGATCAAAACAGCCAATGCAAAGGGTGTGAAAGGGGTTAAGTTGGGTCACATGAAAAGTAGTACAGAATGAATTTAAGGACTTCCAAGTATCTAACTAGGTATCTCAACAAGTATTTCAACATATCAATCTTTGACATCAATGCATTCCTCAACCTTTCAATTCTCAACGGCAATTCTTTTTTTTTTCCATCAACTTTTGACAATTTTTTTTTTTTTTTGGAAATTCCCCTTCTTCTTCTTTTAAGATTCATCACTTCACCTGAGCACCTATCAACTCTTATCATTTTTTTTTCGTTGCTTTTCTTCTCAAATGACATTCAATACCTACTATACACTTGGAAGCATAAAGGTTTGAAAAATAAATGTTTGTAGACTTTAATCCGATGTGAAGATGTATAAATAACATAGGCGCTAGGGATGGGCGTGGGTCGGTTCGTTTCTAAAGAGAACCGAACCGAACCAAAATTTTCGGGTATCTAGTAAATAAAATCGTCGGGTCCAAATATAATTATGGAACCGTTCGGGTTCGGTTCAGTTCGGTTCCATTCAGTTCTATACTATAATTAAATTTTTTAACATTTATAACAACATTATATAAATACAACTAATGACACATTCAATGATTTTGGAATGTCAGAGACTAATAGACTACTTTGTTCAAATGATCGCTACGATCAAAGCTTCGATCGGTGGAGGCCACAGCTTCGGTCAGTGGCCATAGCGTCGATCAACGATTGTCTAGGTTTTGGAATGTCAACGAGACTGTGAGAGTGAGTGCAAGAGTCGAGACAATGTTATGCACTTTAGTATAGGTATTTAGGGTTAATTAGTGGATTGTATCTTGTTGTGCTAAGAAATGAAAGAATAAAATGGGTAATTGGGACAAAAATTAAAAAATTAGAAATGAAATAAATTATTGCGCCAAAAATTTGGTTTTAGAAATTGTTAATTTGATAATTTGTTTAGAAAAAATTAAAATTAAAATAATTTGATTTATTCAATATAAAAAAATTAGAAAGATTCGGTTCTTAGTCTAGAATCGAGAACTGAACCATACCCGTCGATTCTCAATTCAGATACCCGTTTGAGTATTTAATTTCATAAGAACCGTCGGGTTTGGTTCGGTTCGGTTCGGTCAGTTCGGTTCGAAAGATTTGCCCAACCCCAATAGGCGCATAAAAAGAAATGGTTATATGTGTACTAGCTCAAAGTGGCTACTAAGAGATTATAATTACGAAAAGAGACAAACTAGTCTGAAGGCTCAACTTCAATCCTAAATTGACTGTTATCATTTCCCAAGTATAATCCATCATCTTACCACATACCATGTAATATTATTCTCATAAGAAGTTTCCAATTCATAAAATCAATGAGTGCTTATTACCATTTTTAGTATATATGGCTCTCAATCCTCACCAATTTTCTCACAAGAAAAACTTCAGCAAGAGACTCATCTTACTACATGTGTTAAACCACTATTTTACTAAGGTTTGTTTGCACAAAATAATTCGACAAGTGTCTCAACATCTAGACTCACATGAACAATATCAACTTCTAGTGGCATATTTTGTCATTCAAGAACATGAAAATGTAGCAAATAGAGATTTAAGGAAAAAAATTAGACCAAAATTCCAAGTAACTCATGCACTTCACAACAAAATTTAGGTTAAACTCTCTCCCCAATTAAACATTGCATTGTCCTCAATGCAAAAGCATGTTTGCCAAATAAAGGTAAGGAAAGATGTCACATGAGTACCGAAGTGAATCACATGAGCTGAAGTATAAGAAGCCTGAAAGTCTTCAATGGAAAAGGTGATACAGAAAATGAAAATAAACTAGAATGCAGTTAATAATACATGTGATGCAAATAAACCTAACAAATGCAGAAATAAGATAAAAGAAGGGAAAAGAACTCCTCTTGGGTTGGCTCCCAAGCAGTGCCTTTGTTTATTGTCGTTGGCTCGACCTAATATTTGTTTCTTTAGCTCGCATCCAGTTAGGGCGTTGTCAACACTCTTTGCATTACACCAAGCTTAGTGGAAATAATCGCTGGTGATGTTCCACAATCCTGCAAATCGTCAAAGGCACCACAAATATTAGCATATTCCCCATCATCATACCTTGCTAGAATTTCAGAATTTAAAAGAAAATATTTTAAAGGGTTGGGGTTAATAATCGCAGGTGCTTCCTCCTAAACGAGTGCATCAATCATGAATGTTTGATGACGCTCGTCATCCTCCTCAGGTTGCTTCATGATGTGAAAGATGTTGACGTCCAGAGTCATGTTCCTAAATGATAATTTCATTAGACCATTCCTACAATTGATAAGAGCATTAGCTGTGACAAAAAAAGGTCTACCAAGAATTATGGGAATTTTGGAGTTAACATTCACAATAACTTTTAGGTCCAAAATTAAGAAGTCAAAGGGTAGTAAAATTTGTCAACTTGTACCAACACATCATCAACTACTCCCTTAGGCCTAATAGTGGATCGATCAGCCAATTGTAAACTTACTGATGTGGGTTTCATCTCTCCTAGTCTTAACAACAAGTAAGTATCATACGGCATAATGTTAACACTAGCCCCTAGATCAAGAAAGGCTTGTGAAATCTCATGGTTCCCGATGATGCAAGAGACAGTAGGACAACCAGGGTCCTTATACTTTAGTGGGATATTTTTCTCAAACACAGTACTCACATGTTTAGTCAAGAAAGTAGTTTTCTTAACATGGTGTTTCTTCTTCACAGTGCAGAAGTCTTTTAGGACTTTAGCATATGTGGGAACCTGGGAGATCATATGTAGGAGAGATAGATTGATTTTTACTTGTTTTAGATGCTCTAGGATTTCACTATGTTGGCCGACAAATTTTAAGGTAGACTTGAGAGCTTGAGGAAAATGTACTCTAGATGGATTTTTCACTACCTCCTCACTAGGGATACTCTCTTCTGAATTGTTAGGGTCCTTTTCATTCTCCCTAGATTGAAGGGCTCGTTCAATGACTTTCCTAGATCTAGTGGTTATGGCATTTACTTCTTTAAAGTTAGTCTCTCTCGATCCCGAAATTTGTGCCACGTGTTGTCCCTTTGAACTTGGTTGAGCTTGAACTGGAAATTTTCAACGTTCCCCTACAGCTAAGGTATTGGTTAGTTTGGACACATGGTTCTTTATCTCTTTATTTTCCTCAACTAACTAGCCAATCATAGTCTCAAATTTTTTATTTGTTTTACCATGTGCCTCAATAAATAAATGTAAAGTATCTTCTAAGGAATTCCTAGAGGATGTGGGTTTACGTAGGGATACATTGTAAGCTCTATTGGATTGGGCAGATTGTTGGTTTTCGAACTTCCAGCTAAAGTTGGGGTGATGTTCCCACCCTGCGTTGTAAGTCTCGGGGTAAGGGATATAGGGCTTTTGATATATGTCTAGAGCATTACAGTGTTCCTCATAAAGTCCTCTCATTTAAGCATAAGTGGCACACTCCAGTGCTAGGTAATCACTCCTTCCACACACAAAACAAGGCTCTAAAGACTCAACATAGGAAATGAATCGAGTGGTTTTTGAATTCTTAGCACGCAGGTTTTCAAGTTGTCTAGTAAGGGCTTCTACCTTTGCTCTAAGGTTACCTTCCTCCCTAAGATGATGAATACCTGTGCCATTCGAGTTTCCATTGGGTCGTAACCTATTAGTACTCTCGGTGGCACTAGGTCCAATCTAGGCATGGGCTTTCTCAACTAAGTTATCTAAGCAGTCTATAGCCTCATCCGGATCTTTTTGCAAAAATTCACCATTACACATCATTTCAACAAATTGATGCTTCCTAGGTAATAATCCCTCATAAAATAGCTCACAATGCGTCAACTTTCATAACCGTGATGGGGGTAGAGGTTTTGCAATTCTTTGTACCTTTCCCACGCTTGATATAAAGTTTCACTCTCCTTTTGAGTAAAAGAAGAGATTTGCTTTTCAATGCAACTGTTTTGTGGTGGGGAAAGTACTTGCCAACGAATGCTTAAGTCATTTCAGCCCAAGTCCCAATCAAACGTGGTCGCAATGAATACAGCCAGCTCTTTGCTCTTTCTTTAAGAAAAAAGGGGAAAATTTTAAGCCTGATTGCATCCATTGTGCCACGTTGATTGTGGAAAGTTGCAACCACCTCTTCAAATTCCCTAATATGCACGTATGAGTTTTCATTTTTAAGACCGTGAAAGGTAGGAAGAAGTTGGATCATTCCTTATTTAAGGTCCATGCGTGGCATATTAGGTAGAAATATAATGCAAGATGATATAGATGTGCGCATGGGTTGAAGATAATCATGCAAGGTCCTAATTGATGCTTCTTCATGTTCACTATCAGTAATTGTGTTGTGTGATGTGATGTGTGTGCCAATAAATTCAATATCAAAGAAAGGTTTAGGAAAAGATTCAAACACTGGTTGCAGTCTTGCAATGAATTGTCCCCGCTCGTCCCGATCTCTGTTCATAAAGCACAAAAAAAATATGAAATTTTGTGAAAAATAATAGAATAAAAACTAATAAAATTAAGCTAATTAAAAAATGTAAAAGAGGAACGAAGTCACCCTTTCCCTCAAAGATCCTTTGATTATTTATACCGTCTTCCCGGCATCAGTGCCAAAATCTGATTACGCTCAAAGAATAACATGGTAGTTGTAGCACAACTTTGGGGTATCGATTCCACAGGGAGATGGACGAATTGTTTAAAGGATTTATCGAACTAGAATTTCATGAATTACGTAAAAATAATTTGTCAATTGGAATGAGATTCAATTATCAATATGCGAGATTAGTGAAGCATCAAAATTCACTCTCCCGAATTGGATCAATCAACACAAATCATTCATGTATCTTACTAAAAAATCTACGTTCCTATAATACATTCCCACTTAATCTATTGAAATCAGATTCAAAAGCGACCATATACATCGAGCATAAGGCAGTAAGGAATCAAACCGATGAGATTATTTTAAATTGGAATTCAATAAATACTCGATCAAACTATAGAAAGAGCATGACTAATTCTATGAAAAATCTAATAAGAATTAAACCACTTCAAAACCAATTCATGAAGAAAACCTAGATCAATTTAATTTCACTTATAATTCTATAATTTAGGCTTTCTAAGAGCATATTCCTCTTTGATTTATTAAAATACGATTCAAGAAATGATTATATACATCAAGCATAAAATAGTAATCAAATCACATCAATAAATCAATTGAAGTTTAAATCCAACAAATATTTTTGTCATTCGATAGAAAAAACATAATTGAATCCACGAACAATTTAATAAAAGTTAAACAAACTTCAAAAGTATAATAAGGTAGAAATATAAATCCAAGAATTATTTGACAATGAAAAACACATTACATGAATGAAAAGATGTTAAAATCCCCAAATCCGATCAAGATCCTTCATGGTTTCACCAAAATATTTAGCCTTCCATGGAGTTCTTGTGCCCAAGATGAGAGAAAAAAGATCGGAGATGATTAGGACGCGTTCTCCCTTGTTTTGGGATGATTTAGGGCTTAAAATTCGTGGGAGATCGAGTTACCATAAGAGTTTGAACGGAATTAGGAAACTAAAGATTCGGTCAAAAATTGTTCTGTGCGACTACTTTCAGTATTTTGACCATAACTTTCTCTCCTAATATCTAATTAAGGCAATTCAAAGTGAATTGGAAATCTAACACAAAGGGCTACAATTTTGCTATAAATAGCGTTTTCCATGTTCCGACGTTTACTGGGTCAAAAGTGGACTTCAATCTCCGACTGAAAATTTGGAAAATCTTTATGCGGTTAGAATTTAATTTGTTAATATGTCATGGTCATATTTAACTTCTTTTGACTTCTAATTACACCCAATGGACTCCTAGCTTTCTCGAATCATCATTACATCGTCCGTCTCATCTTTAAATTATTTACAACTTGGTCTCTAAACTTTCACTTTCTTCCATTTTGGTCATTTTTTGCTCTTTTCTTCTAAATTTCACATTTTCTACCAAAATGCAACTTGAATCAAAGTGTAAGTATAACAAATGCATTTTGGTATCAAATAATCACATCAATGCAATAATTAAGACGATAAAATATTATATTTTACACTCTTATCAATTATTCACAAAGTAGACCAATAGAGCACATCTATTCTTTTCCATACCATAGAGCATAAAAAATTAATGCAAAGGGGCACGATCTAGAATAATAGTGAAAGAAACAGGGAGAATGTTTTAAGTTGCTTTTTGCATTTCCTGTTGTAGTTTCCCTGCTAGGATAACCATAAGAATCTATGATATCAGATTAGCATAAATATAAAGTACAATAATGAAATAATCCTTCAAAATATTTTAGCTAAAGCAACAACATAAATACATTGGACATGCTAATGGAAACAGCATGTTAATTAGAAGTAAACCAAGTAGTCACTAAAATCTCTTCAAAGTAGAATTTAGAGAATAAAAATAACCATACGTCGATCGCTTTTTTTGCTACTTCAATCTACTTAAAATGATTCTCTACAATCCCATATCTCCAGAAAATGCATCGTAATAGAAGCCTTGTAAATCATATATCCAATTCAAGATAAATTGTGATGAGTTAATATGACAACTGATGAAAAATGTAAACCAACTTGTTGACACATAAAAATTCAGCCCAAATCGAACAGCTCAAGGAGTGAAGCCCAATTGGAAGATCCCCAAATCAGATAGCCCAAAGAACGAAGCCCAATCGAACAAATCAAGATGAAGGCCCAAATAAGGAGGCCCAAGAACGCGGTAACGACATCGCCCAAGTTTGCAAGTCACCCAGAATCTGAGCGAATGGAGGTCATACAGTCGCCCAGAGCTGTTACTCTATTCTCGCCCAAGCCTTCAAGTCGTCCAAGGTCTTAACAAACAAAAGCGTCGTGGTTATCAAGAAGTGCAGTTATCAAAGCAGTTATTAAAGCAGCCCTATCACGTTCCACGATTCAAGGAATTCAATCGAAAACGGTTGAACGATGAAGAGTAATGACAGTAGTTAAAAAGGCAGTTTTCATGACAAGTTGGCCATTACGAAGAAAGTGGGCAGTTATAGGATGATCAAGCAGTTTTTAGGGCGGTTGATCACAAAGAGATCGTCCATGAAGTATAAAATGGAGAAAGGATATAGAAGCAAAGGACCGAATCAAAAACTCTTGAACAGAGAATATGTAATTTTCATTTCCTTAGCTTAGACTTAAACACTTTTCTTTCAGTAACTCGTGTGCTTGCGCCCCTTGGAGGCACGTTGTTTTTAATTTCCAATTGTAAAGTCATTGCCAATAAAAGAACACCCCTTTTTGGGACTTTGTCTCAAGAGGTTTGTCCCTTACACGATCGTCTGATCCTTTTTAATTGTTAGCGACTAACCCGCGCGAAACAATTTGGCACGCCCGGTGGGACAGTGGTGTTAGGTGTTGAAAGTACAAAAGGTGAAACAATATGCCTCAGAAATCCAATAAGGAAGCAGCAAGTCAGGGAGGAATCCAGTCTATGATCGAGCGATATGAGGAGCAGCATGCCTCTCCACGAACAGATGGACAGAACCAGAGCAGTAACAGTCGTTACGAACCAATGACGGAGTTGAGTCCTCGAACCATGCGTGCATTACTTGGAGAACTCACGCAAGACGTCGTTGAACAGGTAAATCTTCGAAGTATTCATAATATGGAAAGATTTACACAAAGTGGTAATGCACACTATGACAATATGGCCAAACAACTAAAGACGTTGAACGAAACAATGAATAAGTTAGTAGGCCAAATATGTCAACCGGCTATACCTCTTACAAACCACTTTCAAATTAGGACAATTGTGGGACATAATCCCTTGGTCCTAAATCCGAATCAATGGGTAGAACCGCTTTCTGGTCCCTCTACTTCAAACCAAGGGGGTATTACAGTGCCAAATCAGAATAATGGTAGTAGTATGCCTAACTTGGGGGGTAATCCAAACGTAAGAGATAATATCCTGAACAATTAACAGCACACCCCACGTGTTAATGAGGAAACAGATGTTCAGGCTAATGGTAATGGCCTTAATTATGGTAATATTGTTGCCAATCAAGGACCAAACATCAGGCCTCATGCAAATCAACCGGTTAATCAACCTGTAGGAATTCCATATGATCCCAATGTCATGTTGAAGAACCAAATTATGGAAATCGTACAGGATCAGATGACTTTTGGGGTGCGTCCCGTCATTAGACCGACGTACACAAAACCATATCCTGATTGGGTAGACTAAGCATACCCATGGCCTAAAGGGTACAAAGTGCCAGAATTCTTACTGTTTACCGGTTTAGGAGAAGTGTCCACTCTAGAACACATAGGGCGATTCACATTGTAAAGTGGTGATGTAACCGATTACCATAAAATGAGGCTTTTCCCTAGTTCGTTAACAGGAGTAGCTTTCTCCTGGTTCAA